AAATCAACCATTACATTTCAATCAATTAAACAAGCACAAATAAGAATTATGTTCACGTCAATTAAACAAATCAACTTTTACAAATCATCTTTTACAAATCAATTAAACAATCAAAAAATAAACAATAATTCTTATTTCCTCATCTACTATTGAATCAACTTTTGTAGCCATACATCATTTTCACGCAGCTCACTTCTGAGATTAACCTGCATAAACCAAACATTTGCTCAAACAACACTTTCTACACATCTAAAACCTACAAACAACAAATTATTGAATTCTAGGTACTTAACCAAACATTTTCAAACCACAAGCCTATAAACTTACCAATTGTTTATGGACATTTTTATAACACGGATGCAGGTAGGCAGCGTCTCGTATATATCAATCTAGCCATATAATACCGAAACCACAAGCCTACTGCAGCTCTATCTCTATCGGTGGGAGGTAGATACTTTATACTTCCTGTGATCAAACGCTCCAACGCCAAGCATACGAGAGGACCATAATCCCCTCTAGGTCCTTTCATTTGTTGTGGTGTGGTCTCGTCTCTGCTAACTGTAATATTGAGCTTCTTTGGCTTCTTGTTTCCAGAACGAGTCCAATAATTTATCGCATCCAAGAATTTAGCCAAATGAGAGCTCCATCCCTTAATAATATCTCTTAAATCAGCCAATGATATGTAATTTATCATGCTGTCATATACTATTGCCTTAAGGGATGGGAGCTGAAGCTCGACGAGAAGCCAATGTTTACGTTCCAAAACAGGGATAAACACCTACAATCATAAGTAATAATTCATTCATTTACGCACTTATTTATGAATACCTTTAAACTCAATCTAAAATAAATACTAACCTTATCGACCTCCCACCATGCAGGATAAAGTTTAGCTTGTCCATTGCCCAACGCAAATGATTCATCTCGTTGATTCTTCAAATGAACGGCGTTAAAAGACGTCGGCATAATTGTATATCGTGTATTTCTTTTATTTTCCTTAAGTTTCCTAATTATTAGAAGACGTGACACCCACACATCGATATGTTGTTTTACAAAAAAAGACATATATTAGTAACTTACATAAATTTAAAAACAAATAATCAAATTAAAATATAAGAAAAATATAAGACTTACCCCTCCATCGAAATAGCCATTGTCTTCGACCCCTAATAATACGCCCCACCAAGACCAACCAAGCAACAAATAGATATCATCGTTGAGCTTGCATATGTCAGTGAAACACCCCTAGCTCCGCTCATGTAGATAAAAATCAACTGCGGTCTTAGCCCAAAGGGTGTTATCCAGAATTGTGTCCGGTAGTTGTCTCTTCTCCACTTCAGATACTGGTATGGTACTGGCCGGTAACTCATACGAGAGCCAACTTGAATCCATCATGTCCGGCATGTCAGAGGGTTTCTCAAGAATCCTACATATGACGCCATGTGAATCGGGCTCTTGAATGGTGGGAGGGACCTCTTCAACGATGACAATGGCCTCTTGAATGGTGGGAGGGGACTCTCGAGGAATGATAGGGGCCTCTTCAACGATATGAGTTGACTCTTGAGGGATGACAGGCGAGTTGGGCTTCTTCTTGTGGTGTCTTAGCACTATTGGGGTATACGGAGACTTAATAGCAGGTGCACGCCGTCTGATGCGTGAACTCTGTCGTGCAAGAAAAACCCGACGTAAAGCATCCACCTTATCGGTCCGCTAAATAATTAAATACAAATATCAGTAAATAAACAGACATGATATTTAAACAGTGAAAACAAAGACAAATATGTTTCAAACTTGCATTGAATTCACCCAAGTCATTATTCTATCATAGTTCACAAAATGCATCAGATAACAAAGGCAAATATGTTTCAAACTTGCAACACTGTCAACTTAGTATTTGTCTTTGTCTATTGGTTGAAGTAATGCAATTCATTCAAGTTTCAATTTGCAGAAGAAGAATAGTTTCAATTGGCAGCAAACGAACAAATTTACTTTCAACCAAAAGACAAAACAAAGACAAATACTAACTTCACAGTGTTAAACAATACACAGTTTAGCAGAATTGGCAGCAACCGAACAAATTTACTTTCAACCAAAAGACAAAACAAAGACAAATACTAACTTCACAGTGTTAAAGAATACACAGTTTAGCAGAATTGGCAGCAACCGAATAAATTTACTAAGCAATATAAGTGAAATGGTTAATCTAAGTGAAATTACGAGTAAATTTATCATCAAGTTAATTATGAAAAATCTTAAACTTACCTCGTTGCGTAGAGTATGAACCTCATTCTACAACGATACTACCATCTCACGTAGAGCGGCAACCTCACCACGTAAAGTAGACACCTCCACACGCCATGCACCATCATTATCGCGTAGAGTACCGATCTCCTCACGCAAGGCATTGACCTCGTCACGTAACTCCCTTGACTCATCTCGTGGAGGTGAAGAACAGGGAGATAGAAGTCGTGGCATCTTTGCCGGTCGCCTATCATGAGGTGATGGTGGAGAAGAGGCTCGATGATGTGACGGGATAGGTGATGACTCTCGTTGTAGAGGTGTATAGTCGGGTCGATCGGGTGATGGCTCTGGGTGAGGTGATGGCTCTCGAAGTGGAGGAAGTGGAGGCTGCTCATCATTCGTTCCATCAAGAAAACGCTGACTAGCTTGCCACCAATCAGTGGCAAGCTCAGCCTCCGTGGGTGTCAGTCTCATTAATGGAGTGTTGGCCTCCTAAAAATATAAAAACTCAAACAAAGTTAAACGTCTACTATTAATAACTTGTTTATATATGATAGTATTTGTGTTAACTTACATTATTTATTGTCGCATATGGTATTAAGTCTTCCCAATCCAACAGACGTTTCCTCTTCCAGGAAATAGCCCTAGGAATATGATTTGAGGTTTTTAATGTATATGTCCGCATGCTGGGGAAAGCCTCGAATATCCAAATCTACAAACAATATAATAACAAACATTAGTAATTGTTAAATAATTAATTATAATTTTGAAAACATTATATAGAAATTCTTACCTTAAAGGCCCAAACAAAGCCTGACAAAGTGTATTTCGACCCATCGCCCCGCAAACTTTTGCGGTCATCAAAGGCAGACGACAACTTAGTCCAGGTAGCTTTCCATATATACGAACCCTACGGAAACAGATTCCATGCATTTAGGTCCTCTACCAATAATATTAGCTCCTGAGGAATAGGTTGTCTGGCCTCTCTGCCTAAAAAGCCGGCATACAAAAGTAGTAGAAGGCATACTCGGACAACATCGACGTCATTCATCCGAGTAAAACCATCTTTATTATTAAACAATTTCTTCATGTCGTCGACGTGTAAGTTCGGCTTCTCTATTGACTCATCAGGAAAAACCCTGGATAACCATGATGGGCGGGTGATATGACTAGTGTACCGGCCTACATCATCGTGTTCGAATCGTAGACCAGTGATTAAGCAGAACTCCTTCCGCCCAAAACAAGTATACGCCGGTGGAAAATGAAACCATATCTCTTCCTCACCACGTTGTATACTGTCGGGTAGATCGCTAGTCATGGTCTGAAGCCACAAATGGGTCAAATTAGCATCTCCACCCGGATGCTGTACTCTCAGCCATGGCCCGAAGCAGGTTTCCTCAAACAATTTTTTTTGTGCAGGTGAAAGCTTCGAAGCAATTGTAGTGGCTAGGCTAACTTTATTCCTTAATGTCAATGAAGCCGAAAAAAATTTCTACAAAAACAATAAACATACCAAGTTAGATATACCAAAAACTACACTGTGAAGATATACCAAAAACAATAAACATAAATAGTAGTTTATTCTTGAAACTAAAATTTGCAACACTGTTTTGTCTTTTGGTTGAAATGAAAATCGCAACGAGAGAATGAAAATCGCAACGCGGAAATGACTTTCGCAACGAGAGAATCGCAACGCGAAATGAAAATCGCAACGAGAGAATCGCAACGCGAAATGAAAATCGCAACGAGAGAATCGCAACGCGAAATGAAAATCGCAATGCGATTTTGGTTTCGCGTTGCGATAGTCATTTCCGCGTTGCGATTTTCATTCTCGAAACTATTCTTCTTCTGCATTACTTCAACCAAAAGACAAAACAAAGATAAATACTAACTTCACAGGGTTAAATACTAAACAGTTTAGCAGTATTGGCAGCAATCGAATGAATTTAATAAGAAATCTAAGTGAAATGGTTAATCTATTATTGAAATTACCAGTAAACTTATCATCAATTTCAATATGAAAAACCTAAAATAATGCAAAAATTTCAAAATAAAAATAATTAAAAAAACTAACCATCGGAGGTTGATTTTCCATTTCTGAATGATTGTGAGGGATTTCTGACCGTGAATGGTTGTGAGGGATTTCACCGACGATGGGGACGGAAATCTTCGGAGATGGGGACGGATTTCGCCGTAGAGAGTGAGAGATGGAGATGAGACTGAGTGTTGTGATTTTAGGTTTGAGGTTATGAGTTGCGATTACTGTGGACGGTTCAGTTTCCGATATATTAAGAAAAAATTTGTGTTTGGAATTTGAAAAAAAAATACGCGTTAATACGAATGGCGCTATGTAAATCGCATTGCGATAGTCATATTCGCATTGCGATTTACGTATTCGCATTGCGAATTATGAAAATCGCAACGCGAATACGTAAATCGCAATGCGAAATTGGAAAATCGCATTGCGATAGTAATAATCGCGTTGTGAATCTGGAAACTGATTTGCGATAATGGAGATCGCATTGCGAATTAGCGACCGCATTGCGATTTTGTTGGTCATTTTGGCAAATCCGGAAAAAGTTGGTTAAAATCGTATATTATATGGGAATTTTTGTCACTGAGGTTATTTTCTCAAATAGTTAATGCATGCAAAGGTTATCTGGCCAAAATGAAGAAAGCTATGGCTATAGAGATTGTAAGTGAAATTCCCAAACTTGATGGAGCGTGAGAACTTAAAGGAATAAACTCATTTGAGACGAAGGTTACCTGAAATAAGTATAACAGCAAGTCAATGGTGATCTTATGAGTGCTTCTCAACCTATACATTAAGTACAACAAGTAAAAAACATACATAATGCCATGAAATGCATTTGGCTATTTGCAATGAATTGAAGTTATAACTTCTTGTTCTTTTAACATCTGCTTTATCAGACATTGTGTATAGTTCTGTTGCTTTAAGCAGCAGTAACGTCTTTAACAACAATAGTTTTTTGCATGTTAAAGCCTGTTTTTCGTAGTGACATCAACTTGTTTTTTTTTTTCTGGACAGCCAACAAAGTGTAGTTCATAGCTCACACTAAACACCAACTTCATAGTTACAAGTTCAACAAAGAAAGATTTATGGATTATGACCTAATCTGAGATATCATTTCTCAATACACAAGATATAGCTTCAAAGGAGCAAAAATCATGTTTATTAGGAGCAAAAAATTAAACAAGAAATTGCTTCAAGGAACTCTAGTCTCTAGTGCATAGAGCCATTAATTAGAAGCTCAAATGACTTGTAAATTCGGGTGTGGAAGAATCCAATTAACTCAATCAAACGACGGGAGTAAAGATAACAACAAACCTGAGCAGATGCCCCGCCAAGCATACCCAGTGCATAGTTTGCAACAACCCAAGCATAGATTTCCTCATCAGAGCCTGAGACATAAAATCCAAAAATTAGCCTAAAGGTATGGACCAGGGATTTGAAACTACAATATAAACACAATACTGAAATATTTCCAGCCTTGACAACAGGAGTGATCTTTATTTAAGCCCTGGATACGAAAAAAGATGAAAAGGAAAACTCATCTTTCAGATCTTTAGCAACACGAAGAAAAGGAGATCAAGGAAGATGAAAAGGGAGAAGATGAAATGAGAGATACCTAAGAAGACAACCGCCCGTCTCGCCGGTGAGAAGGATTCTAAACAGTCGATCAATTTCTGGTATGGAGCAAGGGACGGGAGAACCAAAGACCGTGTTTTCTGTGTGGAGCAAGGGACGGGAGAAAGCTGGAAAACAACTTACCCTTTTCCAAACGATAAGTCGAAATACCGTGTTTTCCTCTTCCTTTTCCATTGACCGTAAAATATTTTTCGTTGACACGGGTGTTTTACGGGAATCAAACACAGAAAAACGGAAAAAACATTTTCCGTAAAATATTTTTCCCGTTCCAAACGGACCCTAATAATGGTGATCGCAATAAAAGCGATACTAAACTTTAATGATTCCGGTCTAAATTTTAAACATTCGATGACTGAAGTAAAAATTCAGATTATAGTTTTGCTTGTGATAGATTAAGGTTTTTGTGCAATGTTAAATTTTTATTTTATAATTTTGTGTATTGATTTTGCATGACATTTCTAACATCCTCGTTGACTAATATTTTTCAGAGTTGTTGACACAAATCTTAGAAAAAATATGAGTGATTGTTTTTACGTTTATGGTAAATGAGATTCTCAATTTAAAAAAAAAATAAATCAATGTAATTCTCGAATTATTTTTATATTTAATATAACTCTAATGGTTTGTATCATTAACTATTATGATACTTATACGACAATTCATAATATTAATCTACTGTAATTATTTATTATGATTAGTGACATGACAAAAAATTAATACGCAAGATCAAACAATAAAAAATCAATTTTAAACTCTATGGATGAAAATAAATCACTTTATGAAAAAAAAAGCATCACTTTAATGCATTAACATTTAATGTTACACAATGCTTGCATGATGTATTATGTTTTTTTGGTCTAATAGGCTACCCGGCTTTTTTATTTAGTCCAATAGGACACTCGCTTTTTTATTTTGGAGAATACGGTAAAAACTACAATGATTCAAAAATTCGTCATATCGAGGAGACGAGCTTGATGAAATATATTATTTTAATGGATCCGGATGAATGAGCTCCATATGGGCCATTTATTTATTGAAATTAAAGTGTCTCGTCACCTCGACGTGATGAGTTTCTTTGAATTAAAAAAAAATTGTTGTTGGTCAACGAGTAACAACAACGGTCACAAGGCAATGGTTACCATGGAACTCGTCACCTCGAGATGACGAGTTCTTTCGAATTAAATTTTAAAAAAATTAATTAATTAAAAAGTAAAGTAATAATTTTATTAAAAAACTATTTTTACAAGCTAATATGTACATAATATAATTTATTTATATTTTTGAAGTTATTGATGATACGTGGTCGAATGATAATGGCGCGGGGCTCGTCAAATACGTTAGGGTCACCGGCCTTGATTGTCGTCGTCGTTGTCTTCATCTTCATCTTGGTTTGGTTGTTCAAAGGAGACATAGCTAATACACTCTAAGATCCATCTTCGAATTACGGTGATGTGCTTATGGTATTTAACACCATCATTATCGTTATTGAATCGACTTGACTACCTTGTTGACTATATATAATATGATCCCATTCACCCTCACCAGCATGTTCTGTCGAAGATGCTTGAGTGTGTTGCATTGCATCCCATGAAGGTCTAACCCAAGTCGACTAAGTCTCGGTTGAAGTATGACATGCATTATAGAAACCGAAACTAGCCTGAGATTCATAATAGTAATCTTTAGATGAAGATGTTGTAGGAGAGAAAGAAGATGACGATGATTCTTCGACTTGGTAAATCTGGCCTTATGTTGTTCTCATTCTCCCCTTTCTTTCAGTGTCGTCAGATATGGTTTCTCATTTACGTCGTAATTTTTTATAGATATAATGGTTGAAATCTAGGTTGATCGGTGTAATATCATAATGTGGGGGATCAAAAGGTAACGTTGATTCCATTGCTCAATGTAGACAGCGTGCTTCCTCGGCCAATTTTCGATATGTTTCCCATGCGTATCAATTTTATGGAGCGTGTCCATATCCCATATTTGCGTAGCAATCGGTTAATGAGACGCAAAATGTCGCAACATTCTATTAGCGATGTGCATCTCAACAATCGGGAAATATAATAATGGAGTCACGACACACCATAAATCGGACACATCAAAAAAATCCTGGTGGCAATAACTGGTAGATCTTTTCGTCTCAATACGGAAACCAAGAAAATTCTAAACATTAATTATAAAAGTTAGTATATATAAAGTTAAACAATTGCAAAAAAATAATAAAAGAAATAATATTTACAACATATCGACCGACGATTTTGATCCTCATTTGTATATCATTTTAAGTAACACCCGACAACTTCGTCTCTATATTTTATGGCGCTACCTAAAAAAATATAAAAATAAAAAACGATTAAAACAAATAAAAAATAAATTTAGTTGAAAAAGTGAAATTAAAGAATTACCTTCCAAAGAGAGGAAATTCGACCGAGACTATTGTAATTAGCGTCAAAAACAGAAACTGATACTAAGCCCAAGACTGTAGAAATATTATACAGCTTGTTACATCGACTTTTCGACCCACTGGACAATTGCAGGCTTGCAATGCTTCAAGTACAAAACGGCTAAAATCATCAAGCCCCAACTAGTATTACGACACTCATCGAAATTATTCGATATAGGGAGATATTGAGTGTGCACCAAATTATCGGATTTATCTAGTAATAATATCCCTCCGATCTGTTGGAGAAGATATGTCTGGGATGCAAAAATAACCTCCTCCTCGGTAGAGTTGTCTGTCACTTGAAATTCAGACTCCAACCAAGTCATCTATATCCAGCAATTGTCCATGACCTCAGATGGTGGCTGCCTTCCCAAAACTTTGTGGACCAAAGCGATAAGGTGGTAATCGTTCCGCCTGACGATGACGACACCATTGATAGGAACACCGAGTTGGTAAACGACACTTTCCAAAGTAATCGTCGCTTCACCACTTAGGAAAAGGAAAGTGTGCGTCTCAGGCTTTTAACGTTCAATAAAAGCAGAAGTCAACGCCGAGTACACCTTAAAGCCACATAAAAATATGACTGGATATAGACCGGATTACTGAAGATATATCATCATCCGATTATGTAGATCTCTCAATGTCATCCCGCGCTGACGAATGCTCTGTTCTTCTTTCGAGCGGAGTTTGGTCGAAGAAATATGAATAGTATCGAGGCGTAACATTTCTTCTCGGGAAGCCATTTTTCGGGATTTTTTAAAAAGTATGAATTTTTGTCAATTTTTTGTAACAGTAGATGATAAAAAATCTAAATCCCAACAGCTATAAATTTCGAAAAGCCGATCGAACTCGTTAGGAATGGCAGAACGACCCGAACCCGACGCGGAAACTCGAAACCCGACTAAGTTCGGGTCGGTCGGGTTTGAATAATATCGGGTCAGATATCGGGGTAAAATTCGAGGATTTTATCGGGTTTGGGACAAGGTATCCCTACCCCACCCCGATTATATACATATATATAATATTTTATATTTTTTATATTAATTATATATAATACAAACAAAATATTTAACCTAGGTATCCCCGCCCCTCCTCGATTTTGGATGACTTTATTTGACTTAATATTACGTATGCATCTTTGTTGTATGATTTGAATATCGGAACAAGTTTGTATTTAATTATGTATGTGTTTTATTTTGGAGTTTAGACAATTATTTAGAATTATGTTTGAATTTGAGACTGTAGTTTGAATTGTAAATCATGTAGACTTATTTTTAGTTTTTTGTGATCGTTTTTTCTATTTTTATGAAAACTAAGACTGCTTGGTTTTTCTCGGGATCGGATCGGGTCGGGTTCGGGTATAACATTTCGGGTCGATTTCGGGGACGGGGCAAAAAAATCCCCGATGGGGCGCCTCGATAAAAAACCCGACGGGGAACAGGGCGGGGACGGGGGAGCAAAACTCGCCCCGAACCCGCCCCGTTGTCATTCGTAGAACTCGTCATCTTAAGGTGACGCGAATGTTTTTATTTATTTTTTCCATTTTTTAATATTAATATTAATTTTATACATTTTATTAAAAAATTTAAACGGACTCGTTATTTCGAGGTGACGAGTCGCTTTAATTTCAATAAATAAATGGCCCACGTGGGGCTCACTCATCAATGTCCATTAAAATAATATATCTAATCAAACTCATCATCTTGACGTGACGAGTTCGTGAATCACTATAGCTTTTATCTATTCTAAAAAAATGGGTACCCTTTTATGTAAAATAAAAAAGTCGAGTGACCTATTGGGCCAAAAAAACCTGATGTATTATGTACATAAAGCATGTAATGATATAAAATATTAAGATGAAACCATCAAATGATTTTATTAATTAAATCTAGTGTTATTCTGTATAAACTAAATTACTTTAGTGATTAAATGAATAATTGTTATTCCTAAATATTTTGAGTTCAAGTATTAGCGACTGTAACAAGAATGATTTTCATTCATCGTTAAATGGTTGAGGGTGTGCATTGTCATTTATTAAAAATTTAAAACATATACTAACTTATTATCACCCCTAGACAAATATAAGATAATTTAATTTTTATTTCAATCAAAATTTATGGTGTGTTAATAACTTTAATATACTTAGGGGTGTTCAAAATTCGGTTTTAACTGAATTAACCTACCGAATCGAATTAATTCAGTTAATTCAGTCGGCCATCGAATTAGTTCGGTCGGCCACCGAATTAGTTCGGTCGGGAAACTGTTAATGATTTTTTAGATATTCGGTTAACGGTTATTTTGGTTTGAAATCGGTTAATTAACCGAATTAACCTTTAAATATAATTATATAACTCAGCCCCTCAGTCGGCCCAATACCCCAATCCATTTAAAACTCAAATCAATTTTAATTAATTAAAATAATCTCAAAACTAAATGTAAACCTTTCAATCTCATCTCACCAAGTGACCCGAGCTTTCATCAAACCCTCATTCTCTCTCTCTATCTATCTCTCTCTAATCTCAGTTCTGCTCTCTCGATTCAGGTTAGCTTCCTAACTTCAAAATTCTAGATATTCTCTTTGATTAGTTTACTTCCCCCTAAAAATTTTAATTACTTGTTTGATTTAAGGTTTGTGATTTGATATCATTTATGTGTTTGAGATTTTTGCTCTTTTCTTTCATTTGTTTAATGTTTTTGGAATTTGCATGA